CTGCAGATGCTGGAGAATCTGAGATAACAAGGTGTAGAGCTGGATGAACACAGCAGGCCAAGCAGCATCAGAGGAGCAGGAAGGCTGACGTTTTGGGCCTGGACCCTTCTTCAGAAATGGGGGAGGGGAAGGGGATTCTGAAATAAATAGGGAGAGAGGGGGAGGCGGATAGAAGATGGATAGAGGAGAAGATAGGTGGAGAGGAGACAGACAGGTCAAAGAGGTGGGGATGGAGCCAGTAAAGGTGAGTGTAGGTGGGGAGTTAGGGAGGAGATAGGTCAGTCCAGGGAGGACGGACAGGTCAAGGGGGCGGGATGAGGTTGGGAGGTAGGAGATGGGGGTGGGGCTTGAGGTGGGAGGAGGGGATAGGTGGGAGGAAGGACAGGTTAGGGAGGCGGGAACAAGCTGGGCTGGTTTTGGGATGCGGTAGAGGGAGGGGAGATTTTGAAGCTTGTGAAGTCCACATTGATACCATTGGGCTGCAGGGTTCCCAAGCGGAATATGAGGTGCTGTTCCTGCAACCTTTGGGTGGCATCGTTGTGGCACTGCAGGAGGCCCAGGATGGACATGTCGTCTGAGGAATGGGAGGGGGAGTTGAAATGGTTCACGACTGGGAGATGCAGTTGTTTAGTGCGAACCGAGCGTAGGTGTTCTGCAAAGCAGTCCCCGAGCCTCCACTTGGTTTCCCCAATGTAGAGGAGGCCACAACGGGAACAGCGGATGCAGTATACCACATTAGCAGATGTGCAGGTGAACATCTGCTTGATGTGGAAAGTCTTCTTGGGGTCTGGGATGGGGGTGAGGGGGGAGGTGTAGGGGCAGGTGTAGCACTTCCTGCAGTTGCAGGAAAAAGTGCCGGGTGTGGTGGGGCTGGAGGGGAGTGTGGAGCGGACAAGGGAGTCACGGAGAGAGTGGTCCCTCCAGAAAGCAGATAAGGGTCGGGAGGGAAAAATGTCTTTGGGGTGGGGTCAGATTGCAGATGGCAGAAGTGTCGGAGGATGATGCGTTGGATCCGGAGGTTGGTGGGGTGGTATGTGAAGATGAGGGGGATTCTGTTTTGGTTGTTATTGCGAGGAGGGGGTGTGAGGGATGAGTTGTGGGAAATGCGGGAGACACGGTCGACGGCGTTCTCGACCACTGAGGGGGGGGATGTTGCGGTCCTTGAAAAACGAGGACATCTGACATGTACGGGAGTGGAATGCCTCATCGTGGGAGCAGATGCAGCAGAGGCGAAGTAATTGGGAATAGGAGATGGCATTTTTGCAGGAAGGTGGATGGGAGGAGGTGTATTCTAGGTAGCTGTGGGAGTCGGTGGGCGAGAAATGGATATCGGTTTCCAGGTGGTTGCCGGAGATGGAAATAGAGAGGTCCAGGAAGGAGAGAGAGGTATCAGAGATGGTCCAGGTGAACTTAAGATTGGGGTGGAAGGTGTTGGTGAAGTGCATGAACTGTTTGAGCTCCTCGTGGGAGCACGAGGCGGCGCCGATACAGTCATCAATGTAATGGAGGAAGAGGTGGGGTTTAGGGCCAGTGTAGCTACGGAAAAAGGATTGTTCCATGTAACCTACAAAGAGGGAGGCATAGCTTGGGCCCATGCGGGTACCCATGGCCACCCCCTTTGTCTGTAGGAAGTGGGAGGAATTGAAGGAGAAGTTGTCGAGGGTGAGGACGAGTTCGGCTAAGCGGATGAGGGTGTCAGTGGAGGGGGACTGGTCGGGCCTGTGGGACAGGAAGAACCAGACAGCCTTTAGGCCATCTGCATGGGGAATGCAGGTGTGTAGGGACTGGACGTCCAGGGTAAAGATGAGGTGTTGGAGACCGGGGAATTGGAAGCTTTGGTGGAGGTGGAGGGCGTGGGTGGTGTCACGGACGTAGGTAGGGAGTTCCTGGACTAAGGGGGAGAAAATGGAGTCGAGATAAGTTCGGTGGGGCAGGAGCAGGCAGAGACAATGCGTCGACCAGGGCAGTCAGGTTTGTGGATTTTGGGAAGGAGATAGAAGCGGGCGGTGCGGGGTTGGGGAATGATGAGGTTGGAGGCTGTGGGTGGGAGGTCACCTGAGGTGGTGAGGTTGTGGATGGTTTGGGAGATGATGGTTTGGTGGTCGGGGGTGGGGTGATGATCAAGGGGGCGGTAGGAGGAGGTGTCGGAGAGGTAGCGCCTGGCCACGGTGAAGTAGAGGTCAGTGTGCCATACTACAACTGCGCCTCCCTTGTCCGCGGGTTTTGTGGTGAGTTTGGGATTGGAGCGGAGGGCTGCACGTTCTGCGGGGGAGAGGTTGGAGTGGGTGAGAGGAGTGGAGAGGTTGAGGCGATTGATGTCACGACAGCAGTTGGAGATGAGGCGGTCGAGGGAGGGTAGGAGGCCTTGGTGTGGTGTCCAGGAGGAGGGGGTGTGTTGGAGGCGGGAGAAGGGATCAGTAGAGGGACGGTTAGGCTCACGGTTAAAGAAGTAAGCGCGGAGGCAGAAGCGGCGGCAAAACTGTTCAACGTCCAAGCGTGAGCGGTATTTGTTGATGTGTGGGTGGAGGGGGACAAAGGTGAGCCCTTTACTGAGGACTGACTGTTCGTCCTCAATTGGGGGGAGGTCTGGGGGCATGGTGAAGACTCTGCAGGGCTGGGTGCTACTGTCTCCTCTGGAGCTGCTGGCTGTGCAGGCAATGGGCGGAGCGACGTCGGCGGTGTGTGGAGCGACCCCTCTCTCCCTGTTTATTTCAGAAACCCCTTCCCCTCCCCCATTTCTGATGAAGGGTCTAGGCCCGAAACGTCATCCTTCCTGCTCCTCTGATGCTGTATGGCCTGCTGTGTTCATCCAGCTCTACACCTTGTTATCTCAGCCTTATCTTTTGCACTGATGTGCTGGGCTCTTCCACCACTGAGGATGGGGATATTTGTGGGCCCTCCCCCTCCAGTGAGTTGTTTAGTCGTCCACCACCATTCACGACTGGATGTGGCAGGACTGCAGAGGTTAGATCTGATTCGTTGGTTGTGGGATTGCTTAGCTCTGTCTATCACTTGCTGCTTATGCTGTTTGGCGTGCAAATAGTCCTTGTTGGTAGCTTCACCAGGTTGACACCTCATCTTCAGGTATGCCTGGTGCTGCTCCTGGCATGTTCTCTTCTGACGTAGATGTGATCCACTGGCTTGATGGTAATGGTTGAGTGGGGGATATGCGGAGCCATGAGGTTACAGATTGTGCTGGAGTACAATTCTGCTGCTGTTGATTGCCCACAGCGCCTCATGGATGCCCAGGCTTGAGTTGCCAGATCTGTTTGAAGTCTGCCCCATTTAGCACACTGATAGTGCTACACAATATGATGGAAGTTATTCTCATTGTGAAAGTGGGACTTCGTCTCCACAAGTTCTGTGTGGTGGTCACTCTTACTGATACTATCATGGACAGATGCATCCACAACTGGCAGATTGGTAAGGTCAAGTATGTTCTTCCCTCTTTTTGGTTCCCTCACCACCTGGTACAGACCCAGTCTAGCAGTAATGTTCTTTAGGAACCGACCAGCTCGATGTGTAGTACTGCTGCCGAGCCACTCTTGATCATGGACATTGAAATCCCCCACCCAGCATATACTTTGTGCCCTTGCCACTCTCAGTGCTTCCTCTAAGTATTGTTCAACATGGAGAAGTAGTGATTCATCACCTGAGGGAGGACGGTATGTGGTAATCAGCAGGAGGTTTCCTTGCCCATGTTTAACCTGAAGCCATGAGACTTTATGGGGTCTGGAGTTAATGTTGACGACTCCCAGGGCAACTCCCTCCTGATTGTACATCACTGTGCTGCCACCTCTGCCACATCTGTCTTGCTAGTAGGACAGGGCATATTCAGTGATAGTGATGGTGGTGTCTGGTACATTGTCTATAAGGTATGATTCTGTGAGTATGACTACGTCAGACTGTTGCTTGACTAGTCTGTGAGACAGCCCTCCTAACTTTTGGTCTTGCCCCCAGATGTTAGTAAGGAGGACTTTGCAGGGTCAAATGTGCTGTTTCTGCCGTTGTCTTTTCTGGTGCCTAGGTCGATGCCAGGTTATCCGTGCAGTTTCATTTCTTTTTTGAGACTTTGTTTAGTACAACTGAATGGTTTGCTAGGTCATTTCAGAGGGTAGTTGAGAGTTAACCACGTTGCTCTGGGTCTGGAGTCACATGTAGGCCAGACCAGGTAAGGATGGCAGATTTCCTCCCCTAAAGGACAATTAGTGAACCAGATTAGTTTTTCCAATGGTCGACAATGATATCATGGTCATCAGTACATTCTTAATTCCAGATTTTTTAAAAAGTTCTATTTATTCTGCTATGGCAGGATTCAAACCCAGGTCCCCAGAGCATTAGCTGATTTTCTAAATTAATAATTTAGCAATAATACCACTAGGCCATCACCTTCTCCACTGATGTATGAGGAGAGGTTGAATCAGTTAGTGCTGTATTTGCTGAAGTTCAGAAGAATGGGAGGAGTCAGGGAGATCTCATTGAAGCCTGTAGAATTCGAACAGGATATACAGAGTAGATGCAAAAAGAATGTTCCCAATGGCTGAGGAGTCCAGAACCAGGGGTCACAGCTTAAGGATACAGGGTAAGCCATTTAGGTCTGAGATGAGAAAAAATTTCTTCACCCAGAGAGTGGTGAACCTACGAAATTTGCTACCACAGAAAGCAGTCAAGGCTAAAATATTGTATGATTTCAAGAAGGAGTTGGATATAGCACTTGGGAATCAAAGGATATCTGGGGAAAGTGGAAATAGGCTGCAGAGTTCCATGGTCAGCCATGATAATAATGAATGACAGTGCAGGTTTGAAGAACCAAGTGTGGAAGTGCTGATGTTGGAATGGGGTGGACACTGTCAAAAGTCACACAACACTAGGTTATAGTGCAACAGGTTTGTTTGAAATCACAAGCTTTGGAAACGCTGCTCCTTCGTCAGGTGAAGAACTAAATAGCCTACTTCTGCTCCTGTTTTCTCTGTTTCTTTAATTTTTTCTTCTGGTTCCAGAGAAAGCGTGGAACAGTTATCCATATTTAAGAAAATCGAAAGGAGACCTATGGCATGGCCATGTCAACTCACCATTGGCTCCGGAATAACCATCAACATCGTGGGCTACAAAGCAGTGAGTTGTGGATTTTGTATTATAGTAGAAGGAACTGGAAAAACAACACTGCAGTTTTTGGAAGGTGGGAGGAGAAGTTCACTGTTTTGGGGAAGGGTGCAGTACAGTGTGTATTGTTGAGGGAATTAAGTCATTGCAGCATTTTTTGTGGAGAGGGAATTGTGGAGGATGGACTGTGTTTGTAGAGAAAGAGAGATTGGTGTGTTTGTGCTGGGGGAGCAGCACAGAGCATGCATGACACGATGAGACTATTTGCATGGAATGATTTTTCCCTAACTAGTCTTAAGCCAATGTTATGATTTCTACTTTGCTGAAGATTTTCTAAATGTGTGCAGTAGGCCCTATAACTGTGTCCACTATGAAAACATGTGAAATAGGAGCAAGGTAGACTATTCAGCTCCTCAAACCTGCCTCAACTATTCAATAAGATCACGGCTGATCTGTTTATGATTTGAATTCTACATTCCCATCTACCCCAATAACCTTTGATTTCCCTGCCAAACAAGAACTTGTCCACCTGTATTAAAACATTCAATGACTCCATCTCTACTGCCTTCTGAGGCAAACAGTTTCAAAGTTGAACAAGTCACTGAGAGAAAAAAATTCTTCTCATCTCTCCCTTGAAAAGGACATAGGTTTGAGTTGAGAGGGGAAAGTTTAAAGGAGATGTGCAAGGAAAGTTTTTTTTTACACAGAGGTAATTCAATGAAAGGGCAAACAACAGCCCCTGTACTGACTCGAGGAAACACCCTTTACAGTCCACCTTGCCAAGACCATTCAGGATCTGAATACACTTCTATCAAGTCACCCCTCATTCTTCTAAACTCCAATGGAAACAAACCCAGCCTATGCAACCTATCTTCATAAAACAAGGAGAGGCAGTGGTGTGGTGATAACATCGCTGGGCTAGTAATCCCAGATTATTATTCTGGGCAAATGGACTTTAATCCCACCACAGCAGATAGTGAAATTTGAATTCGATGAAAATCTGCATAAAGAGCTTGCCCAATGAAGACCACATAACAACTGTCAATTGTCATAAAATCCCATCTGTTTCAGTAATGTCCTTTAGAAAAAGCAATCTGCTGTCTTTATCCGGTAAGCCTACATGTGACTCCAGAACCACAACAATGTGGTTGATGCTTGTCTCTTTGCCCGCTAAGCTATTAGGAATTGGCAGTAAGTGCTGGCCTAGCCAACAGCCCTTAATGCTATGAACAAATTTTTAAAAATTCTGCTTATTCCAGTTATCATCCCAGTTATCATTCCAATGCATTTACATCCCTCCATAATAAGGGGACCAAAACTGTGCACACAAACAAATGGGTTATGTTGTTTTTTGGCATTTGCCATCAGCACATCCACTGTGATAGACCTCCACATACAGACAATTAGTTAAGTGGGTAATTAAATTTTAGAGCATATAAATTGGGAGGAGATAAAGGTAACAATCCTAATTGTGGGCAACAATGCGTGTTTAAAGCATTTAATGCACTGTGCCCAGCAACTTTCCCTTTAAAGGCATAATTTTTGACAATCAGATCTTTAGATGTAAAACTCTTCAAACAGATGACTGAAGAGAAAGTAAAGAAAAGCTGGACGTCTGTTGATGCTAAGACTCTGCGAAAGGAGGATGTGAGGAGGGAGACCGTTTACTGCTTAAATGATGACGATGAGACTGAAGTTTCAAAGGAGGACACCATTCAAGGTACCATCTGTTCTTGCCATCCCACCATTTTGTACTCATTAAATCATATCCTCACCCAGATGTGTTTGTACCTTTCCTAAGCTGCACATTGCTAACCTCATCTTGTCTTAGTTTTATTGTTAGATGAGAAGATCTTGTAGGGTGAGGTTGAACAAGTGTGCTTAAGGGTAAGTGGTTTGTAAGAGAGGTAACTTGGGGCTGAAAGTTGAAGGGGGGAAACTATATGTATTAACCTTGTCGACTATCAAGACACTGACAAATAAGACTGAAACTCTTGGTTTCAAGCCTCATTGTAAATCTGTAAGCACATCATCCAGGCATACACTTCAGTGCAGTCCTTAAAGATGAAATATCTCCCTCTTCAGGTGGGTAGAAACGGCTCTGTGTCTTTCAAGGGCAGGGCAGTTCTCTCTGTGAGGTGTAAGATATTTATCACTCCATAAACATTTCTTCAAAGTAAATTATCTAGTTATTACATAAAAAAAGACTGACTTACTCAGCAGGTCCTTTGCGGAGGATCTCAGGAGGTGACCCAAATGAATCACCAACTCAGTGCTTTTGTCTGAAGATGAACGCACATGTTTCAGCATTGTCTTTTGCACTGATGTGGTGGGCAGTCCCCACTGTTGATGTTGGAACATTTGTAAAGTCTCCATCTCCTGTTAGTTATTCAATTGTCCAATATCATTCGTGGTTGGACATGATAGGTCTGCAGTTTAGATTTGATCCATTTATTGTGGGATCATGTAGCCCTGTCTATTACATACTGCTTCTCTGTTTGACATGCAAGTAGTCATGTGTGGAGCTTCAACAAGTTGACACCTCATTTGCCTGGTGCTGCACCTGCACTCTATTATTGAGTCAGGGTTGATCCCTCAGCTTAATGGTAAGGGTAGAGAGGAGGATCATAGAATCATACTGCACAGAAGAGGCCCTTCAGCCCATCAAGTCTGTACCATCAAAATATACTGCTACCTACACTAGTCCCATTTTCCCACACTAGACCCTTAGCCTTGAATGTCATGATATTTCAAGTTCTGGTCCAAGTAATTTTTAAAGGTTGTGAGGTGTCCTGCCTCAACTACCCTCCAAGGCAGTGCATTCCAGATTCCTACCACCCTCTAGGTGAAAATTCTTTTCATCAAATCCTCTCTAAATCTCCTGTCTTTTACTTTAAAATTATTACAACTGCTTTCTAACCACCACTGGGGCAGGCAATAGCCCCATGGTATTATTGCTAGACTATTAACCCAGAAACCCAGCTAAGGTTCTGGGAATCCTGGTTCAAGTCACGCCACAGTAGATGGTGGAATTTGAATTCAATAAAAAGTCTAGATTTAAGAGTCTAATATTGATCATGAATGCAGTGTTGATTGTAGGAAAATTCCATCTGATTCATTAATGCCCCTTAGGGAAGGAAACTGCCATCCTTACCTGGTCTGGCCTACATGTGACTTCAGATCCACAGCAATGTGGTTGACTCTTAATTGCCCTATGTAGATGTAGAGACATAGAAAACAGGTGTAGGAGTTGGCCTTTCAGCACTTTGAGCCTGCACCACCATTCAATACGATCATGGCTGATCACGCAATCTCAGTGTCCCATTCCTGCCCTCTCCCCATACGCCTTGATCCCTTTAGCCACAAGGGCCACATCCGGCTCACTCTTGAATATATCTAATGAACTGGCCCCAATAGCTTTCTGTGGGAGAGAATTCCACTGGTTCACCACTCTGAATGAAGAAATCCTTGCTCATCTCAGTCCTGAATGGCTTACCCCTTATTCTTAGACTGTAACCCATAGTTCTGGATTACCCCAACATCGGGAACATTAGCTCTGCATCTATCCCGTCCAGTCCCATCAGGATCTATGAGATTCCTCCCCCCCCTCCATTCTTCTAAACTCCAGTGAGTACAAGCCTAGCCGATCCACTCTTTCTTCATCTGTCACTCCTGCCATCCTGGGAATCAGCCTGGTGAACCTTCGCTGGACTCCCTCAATAGGAAGAATGTCCATTCTCAGACTCGGAGATCAAAACTGCACACAATATTCAACGTGTGGCCTCACCAAGGCCCTGTATAACTGCAGCAGGACATCCTTACTCCGATACTCAAACCCTCTTGCTATGAAGACCAGCATGCCATTAGCTTTCCTCACTGCCTGCTGCACCTGCATGCCAACCTTCAGTGACTGTTACGCCATGACACCCAGGTCTCATTGCACCTCACCTTTTCCTAAACTACCACCATTCAGATAATAATCTGCCTTCCTGTTTTTGCAACTAAAGTGGATAACCTCACAATCCACATTATATTGCATTTACCAAGTATTTACCCACTCAGCCAGTCAGTCCAAGTCACCCTGCAGCCTCTTAGCAACCTCCTCACAGCACACACTGCCAGCCAGCTTAGTGTTATCTGCAAATTTGGAGATATTGCATTCACCTCCTTCGTCCAAATCTTTAATGTGTATTGTGAACAGCTGAGGTCCCAGCACTGAACCCTGCGGCACCCCACTCGTCTCTGCCTGCCAGTCTGAAAAGGACCCGTTTATTCCGACTCTCTGCTTTCTGTCTGCCAACCAGTTCTCTATCCATGTCAATACATTGATATGGAGGTGCTGGTGTTGTGGTTTGATGTTGTAGACATGCTCGCTGAGCTGGTGGGTTTGGTTGCAAACATTTTGTCACCCTGCTAGGTAATGTCATCAGTGCGCCTCTGGTGAAGCTGTCCGCTTGTTATTTATATGCCCGGTTTGCTGGGATGATTGGTATTACTTTCAGTTTTGTGTCTCAGTGGTTTGTACACAGGGTCTAATTTAATGTGTTTGTTGATGGAGTTCCGGTTAGAATACAAGGCCTCCAGGAATTCCCTGGCCTGTCTCTGTTTGGCTTGTGTGATTATAGATGTGTTGTCCATTATGAATTCACCTGATTTTAACTGCAAGGGATTTACATTTGTCTTCACCAGTCTGTTTCCCTTTACATATCTGTAGAAGCTTTTGCAGTCAGTTTTTTTATGGTTTCTACAAGCTTATTTTTATGTTCTATTTTCCTTTTCTGAATTAAAACCTTTGTATTCCCCTGCTGAATTTTAAATTTCTCCCAGTCCTCAGGTTTCCTGCTTTTTCTGATCCATTTATATACCTCCTCTTTGACCTTAACACTGTTCCTGATTTTCCTTGTTAGCCATGGTTGAGCCATCTTCCCTGTTTTACTCTTACACCAGACAGGGATGTACAATTGTTGAAGTTCATCCATGTGATCTTTAAATGTCTGCCATTGCCTATCCACTATTAACTCCTTAAGTATCCTTGGTCAGTTTATCCTAGTCAATACATGCCTCATACCATCAACATTTGCTTTCTTTCAGTTCAGGACCCTAGTTTCAGATTTAATTGTATCACTCTCCATCTTATTGAAGAATTCTATCATATTATGGTCACTCTTCCCCAAAGGATCTCGTACCACAATGTTGCTCATTAATCCTCTCTCGTTACACAATATCCAGTCTAGGATGGCTTGCTCTCTAGTTGGTTCCTCAACATATTGGTCGAGGAAACCATCCCTCCTCCATTGCATTGCTGCCAGTTTGGTTTGTCCAGTCAATATGTAGACTGAAGTCACCCATAATCATTACTGTACCCTTACTGCATTCTTCTCTAACTTCCTGTTTGGTATAGTCCCCAACATCACAACTACTGTTTGATGGTCTGTACACAACTCCTACTAATGTCTTTTTCCCTTTGGTGTTCCACAGCCCCACCCATACAGATTCCACATTTTTCGGACTAATGTCCTCCCTTATTTTAGTGTTAATCTCCTCCTTAACCAGCAAATGAGAACATAGAACATAGAACAGTACAGCACAGTACAGGCCCTTCTGCCCACGATGTTGTGCCGAACTTTTACCCTAAACCTAAGGTCTATCTAACCTCCACCGCTACCTTATACTATCATCAATATGCCTATCTAATAGCCACTTAAATGCCCCTAATGAGGCCGACTCCACTACCCTCTCCGGCAATGCATTCCACGCCCCTACCACTCTCTGAGTAAAAAACCTACCTCTGACGTCTTCCCGATATCTACCTCCTTTCACTTTAAAACTATGTCCCCTCGTAAAAGCTACCTCCACCCTAGGAAAAAATGAAGAAAATCTTGAACTCGCTATGACTTCAATCAGGACCCCTCTTAGCCTTTTCCGCTCCAAAGAAAACAACCTGAGCTTATTCAGTCTCCCTTCATCGCTAAACTACTCCAGCCCAAGCAACATCCTAGTGAATGTCCTCTGCACCCCATCTAGTTGGATCACGTCCTTCCTTTAATGTGCTGACCAGAACTGCACACAATACCCCGTCTTGTGGCCTAACCAGAGTTCTGTACAAATCCAACATAACCTCCCTGCTCTTCCATTCAATGCCTCTACTCAGGTCCTGTATACCCTCTTAACTACCCTACTAACCTCTCCTGCCACCTTCAGGGATCTGTGGACAAGCACCTCAAGGCTCCTCTGTTCCTCTGAGCTTTCTAGTCCTGCCATTCATTGAGTGTTCCCTTGTCTTATTCCTTCTTCCAAAGTGCATCACATCACACTTATCAGGGTTAAATTCCATCTGCCACTGATCTGCCCTTCCGAACAATTCATCTGTATCTTCTGCGGCCACAGAAGAGACACCAGGATGGTGTATTGCCTCCTGGGTGCCAGGGTCAAGAATGTCTCTGAGTGGTTGCAGAACATTCTGAAGCGGGGGGTGAACAGCCAGAGGTCATTGTGCACGTTGATACAAATTACATAGGTAGACAAAGCGATGGAGTCCTGCGAAATGAGTACAGGGAGTTAGGTAAAAAGTTAAAAAGCAGGACCTCAAGGGAAGTGATCTCCTGATTACTCTAGGTGCCATGCACCAGTGAGGATAGAAATCGAAAGATAGGTTAGATGAATGCATGGCTGCGGAGCTGGTGTATGTGGCAGGATTTTCTGTTCCTGGATCATTAGGAT